CAACAGCCCGGCTGTGTGTTATAAACCGCAGCATACTTGGTATTCTTCACTTTACATTCGTTCTTTCTCCTTTCTCCGGCCTTGTGTCTTTGACTCCCGCTGTTTTATTTAGCTCGTTTCAAAAGAGCGGCTCATTTTCATTCAAGCATTAGGCTGATCACCCATCAGCCCCGATAAACTAAATGGCCCTCAGCCGTTCCAGCTGAAGGTCCTTTTTGCTTGTATTTTTTTTTTTTTTTTTTAATCATTGACTGCTCATGCCTTGATAATATTGTCTGTCCTGTCTTTTTTTTTGTCTCCATTTATTCTCTTTTGTTATTCATCCTTTCTCACAGATTTATCTTATCAGTGTTCTGTTATAGCCCGTCTCCCTCCCCCTCCCCCCGCCCCTCATCCTCCTCCTTTTCCATAAAACTCAGATTACCAGGGTTTTATCACAATTTAAGATGAAAGAAAGCAAGCACGGATGCAAACCTACAATACATCCCACAACCATTCTGTCATAATTTAATGATTTTTTTTTTTTTTTTTTGCTGTCTTCTCATCTTTAAGCGGATGTGCAGCTTTGCTTCAGTTTAATACTATAATCCCTAAATCTCAGCAATTTTTCATAAAGACTCAGAGGAAACAATTGTGTTGGAAGGGATCGGCGCTAAATTTAATCACCAGGCAAGGAATGCAATTACTTTTTGCAGGCCGGGCATATGCTAGGGGATCAGGGTGATGGTTGATGCCCCCCTGCCATTAAAATCCTCCCTTGACAATTGATCCAGGGAACCCCCCCCGCCCCCCAAACTAGAAAGGTTCAAGTGATTCAATTTGTTATACCGGTGTACGTACAGAATGCATTACAATTAATTGTGACCAGACTTAACGCCAATCTGATGGTCTATGTGGGATCGCCACATTTTGTGATTGGCTGTGATGTTTCAATTCGTTGATCCGCTCGATGATGTCATTGAGCGGCTCCGCGAAATAAGCCGTAACGGCCGCAATGTTTCCCACGTGTATAATTGCCTGCGGCAGACCGCCACAAATGAATTTGGGCCGCCTCTGGTCCTTCCCTGGGCCATCGTAAAGGTTGCTAAACAATGCAAGAATGCTCGAGAATATTTTCCATTCACTTTTTCAGTTTGATTTGACAGCCGTCCAACTTGTCCTGGAAATTCAGCCCCTCAGTTGACTCTAATACTGTCATATAATGTTTGTTCCGTTATTTCTTTGCTTCATATGATTCTCACAATATTTTACAGCAGGGGTGTCAAATTGTTTTTTTTCGCGGGCCACATTGTAGTTACGGTTTCCCTTGGAGGGCCGTTATGAATTTTGGGAATAACTAGTTTTACAATCAGAAATCAAGAATAATGACCGTTATTGTGGATTACATATGACAATTTGAAACTTTGGCTCAGACTTTAGCAAGCATCATGGAACTTGACATGATTTATTTGCTTTCGCGAGCCACATAAAATTTATGGGGTTCAGAGCTTACCGTCTTCACAAACAGGTTGCTGCACCGTGGAAAGGATCGCACCTGAAGGTGGAAAAGATCGAAGTCTTTGGGTCTATGTCCATCATCCATCCATCCATCCATCCATTTTCTGATCCGTTTCATCATCCCAAGGGTCGCGGGGCATGCTGGAGCCTATCCCAGCTGTCTCCAGGCAGTAGGCGGGGGGGACACCCTGAAATGGATGCCCGCCAATCGCAGGGCACACAGAAACGAACAACCATCCGCGCTCGCGCTCACACCTCGGGACAATTTCGAGTGTTCAATCAGCCGACCATGCGGGTTTTTTGGAATGTGGGAGGAAACCGGAGTACCCGGATAAAACCCGCGCAGGCCCGGGGAGAACATGCAAATTCCACACAGAAGGGCCGGAATCGAACCCTGCATCTCTGCACTGTGAGGCCGATGCGCTAACTAGTCGACCACCAGGCCGCCCCGTCCTTAATCCATAATCCGTAATCATTTTCATGCCAAGGCAATGTCACACTCGTGAATGTGTTTGCCAAAGTGAAACTCTGGAGCTCTTTATTGTTATTAAGTTTGGGCAGTTGTTGTTTTTCGGGTCAATAGTTGCACACCATGGTGCAGTTACATTTCAATCGCTGCGACTGTTTTACTGTTGAGAACAGTGTTGAAATTGCATTCAGGCCCGGGGGGAACATGTTCCATCTGTTGCTATTATGAGCTGAGATTAGGAAAGTTATGATCTATTCTGAGATGTATGTTGCACGCTCAAAGTGGCAACGAAGATTAGCTGGTGAGCATGGCACAAAACTAAGGTTGCATTTTCATCTCAGCATTCATTGGCTTTCATGAGCATTTTTCAAGGGATGAATTATTGGGAGGAACAGGCAAAAGCCTCTAATATGATATCGTATGTACGTTCATTGTTTTTCCCACAACAGTGTCTGTAAAAGATCGGTCATGGTCATCCACAATGGTTGAATCAAAGTGATACCTGCTCTTAACAGTACTGTAATCACCGGTGACATTTTTAGGTAAACATAGCGACTTAATCTTACCGCCTGTTATTTTTTTGCTTCGGGGAAGAAAGGAGATTTTGCTTGGTGGCGCGTCGTTTATTGATCCAAGTGCATCTGGAATCCATTAACGAGAAAATGCATGCCACTGTTTTGTGGTCTTTTGTTTGTTTTTTTAACTTGGTTTCTATTTGAAATTCAAAGGCACCCTTAAATGGAAATGGAATTGGAGAGCAAAATGAATGGAAGTCACATGTGTTTACCTCATATCAGTGAAGGATGATCACGATAGGGATATTAATTAATGCAGTTGTCTAACAGTAGAATAAACAATCCCGTGTTTCTCCGACGCAAACCTCCAGCAATCTTCTCAAGACTTAATTTATTCACTCTCACAAACTCATTAACATGTTTTTTTTTCCCTTTCCCTGATCATTGGTTCATTATTTGCCTCCCCGTTCTTAATCATATTCATCCCTGCGCTGCAATCATAAAACGCACAGAAACACTCACAGCAACCGCTTACTATCCGATATGATTGCTCGCATTGCATTTGTTTCGCCTCCCCGAATTGCATATTGTTTTCCTCCAGTCGTCACGCGGCGCGTCGCCGTCGATTCGTTTTCCTTTTCAAGTCACATGCACCGACGATGACAGCTTTTATTTTTCACTACAAGGGCTTGATAATAGACGCCTTGGCTACATCAACGAGCCGAGATATTTGTCAGACAAAGCAATCATTAGTACCGTAGAATTGAAGCACTGATTTCCCCTGGCCACAAATTGCACGTACGCATAAAGAAAACAGCCATCGTGGTAGAAAACGTTTTATTTGTTTTAATCTCTTCGTAACAGATGGCATGGGAGACATTGCAATTATGCTTGTTTTATTTTTATTAAAATGATCTCATTACACTTAAAGTAAGGACATAACATTGAAAGAGCAGATTTTCCACTGTTGGCTGCAATTAATTAAACATGGTTTCTTCACACTAATCAACACCAGACAAACTTTTTTTTTTTCCCTAATCTACACCATAGAAATATTCTTTTTAGATTAATCTAGAGTAACCATTGACTGTATGTAAAAGTGTTCTCCGGTTTTGAGTGTGTAAACAAACACGGGGTTCTGTTAGCACGTGCATCAGCATCACTAACAGTGTGTGTCTAAAATGTTGGAAACAGATGACACAAAGATCATACGCGTATCCCAGTATGCAAACTGCGACTTGTCAAGACAAACGTTATTTGTATGAGGCTTGAAACTGCTAAAATCCCTTTGCTGTCTCAAGTGCTAAAACTAAATCAGGTGCATTTCAATTGAAATGATGGAATAGCTCAACATTCATTCATTCATTTTCCAAACCGCTTTATCCTCACTGGGGTCGCGGGGGGTGCTGGAGCCTATCCCAAATGTCTTCGGGCAGCAGGTAGGGGACACCCCCTGAACCGGTTGCCAGCCAATCGCAGGGCACACATCGACAAACAACCATCCATGCTCACACTCAAACCTAGGGACAATTTAGAGTGTTCAATCAATCTGCCATGCATGTTTTTGGAATGTGGGAGGAAACCAGAGTACCCGGAGAAAACCCACGCAGGCCCGGGGGAGAACATGCCAACTCCACACAGGAAGGCCGGAGCTGGAATGTGCTAACCACTCGACTACCGGGCTGCCTATAGCTCAACATGTGATATTTAATATTTACATAAAAAAAGAAAACACAGACGCATCAGAGTATTTTGTCAGCATCGTGACACACGGTTGAGAGGGTATTCAGTTGTGAAAGTGGAAGTCGGCTCACAATCAAATAAGGTGTGCCGGTGGACACCGAGAACGACGCGCAATTGTTTTTTCTCGACAGCGATGAAATCATGCTGCCCCGTTTGCCAGAATCACACTGTCAAAATCAGTTGAATTTGAGACCAGAACTCCCCTGAGCCCACGATAATTGCTTCTTTGGCGGAGAGCTGAATTCATTTCTTTCTGAACTGCCACCACACCTTCAATTCGAAGAAGGGAGAGCTGCTGGAATGCCTCCTATTACAGTTTCATTAAGTATCGGGAAAGGAACATAATTGATTGCATGTTTGTAGTTATGCCCTGAATGAGACTAAACACCAAAATATGAAAATATACGGTACATATATATTTTTTTTTGTGAAATGGCATGGCTTTTGGTCAGGCAGCTTCGCCGCAATGCAATAAGCTTCTGTGTCCGCATCACATTGCGACCCTCGTTTGAAAAAGAAAAATGATTAAGAACCAACAAGTTAGCTCTTCAGCATCATTCATAATTTGGAAGAATGATTGATGAAAGATTACATCGGTTTTGTACCAGCAATGGCTAAAAGTGACACTCCCGACTACAAGCACTAGCATAATAAATATTTGACAACAATATGGAAAATATAGTCTTTTTTTCAAGCATATCCCATGTGGAATTCGATTTCTAATATGTTCGAGACACATTTATGGATACTGACTGACTTTTTTTATGTCTTTCCAGAGATCCTGAGTGGAGGTGTCTATGTCCACCAAAACAACTTCCTGTGTCACGCAGACACCATTCATTGGCAGGACATTGTCAAGAACTCGGGGGTCTATCCTGTGGTTGTCCCGACCAACAGCAGTGCCACATGTAAGTGAACAATATATGACCTCACAAATATTATTCTCGGTGAATGGACAACAATTCAGAGAGGCCCACTGCAATCAATATGATGTAGAAATCTTTTCCCCGTTTTCTTTCTTGTTTGTTTTTTTTCTTGTTTGACGTTGTCCTTGTGTCCACATGGATGAGACCGAACCCCCCCCCCCCCATCTTTTGTTTTGCTGCCGTCATGATCTGTGTCCGCAGTTGATCAACTTTGAGGACGTTCTCTTGGTGACAAACATCCATTCATTTACTTATCTGTTTATCTTCACGAGGGGTGCTGGAGCCTATCCCAGCTGTCTTTGAGCAGTAGGCGGGGCACACCCTGAACCGCTTGACAGCCAATCGCAGGGCACACATCGGCAAACAACCATCGGCGCTCACAATCACGTTTTAGAGTGTCCCATTAACCTGTCATGCATGTTTTTGGAATATGGGAGGAAACCGAAGTACCCGGAGAAAACCCACACAGGCACGGGGAGAACATGCAGACTCCACACAGGAAGGTCGGCTGGAATCGAACCCTGCACCTTTGCACTGTGAGGCAGATGTAACAGGTCAACCGCCGTGACGCCCTATGCCAAACATAACCATTTAAATGAAATTGAATTCAGCTATATTGAATTTATTTGTCTATTTATTCGTTTTGGTTTCTTCAAGCTTGACATCTACAGTCTATTTTTTTGCTGCCTTTCCTGGTGTGAAAGCCTCCTCGCCAATGCAACCTTTACAGACTGTTTTAAGATCACTGCAGAAATATGATGGTCGTAGTGGGACACGTTTATTGTGAGCCATTAAGAATTTATTTGACGACACAGAGCAAATCTTGAGATTTAAATGAATATCTGGTCCGATTTGACTTCACAGGCCAACAGACTCCAATGGGAACTATAATAGACATATGAGTGGAGTGAAGGTTCTCCATACTTGGGGGCTCTGAGGCAGCAACTCACAGCCCGCTGCCATTTAGTTTGTATACGCAGCTTTTCATGCGCTCGACCTCTTCTTGAGAGATCTATCAGCGTGCTTGAGGGAGTCAGGCCAGAGGACAAGAGGAGAAAAAAAATGCAACAGGCCGGAGAAATGAACAAAGCCAAACAATGTTGGGCATTTAGTGAAAGAGAAGCACGGTGAGGAGATGGCTTATGGAGGGTAGATGGAGAATGAAAAGAGATAAAGTGTGCAGTAGAGAGGGGCACATATGAAGAAGAACAGGAGGGCGGAAAATGGAGACTCATGTTGGGGAAGAGAGGAAGACTCGTCGCTAATAGCTCTCATCTGGAGAGGCTGATGGACAGAGGACAGCACTCCTGCACTTACGCAGGCTCACTTCCCTCTCACTCAATTACCAGACAGTCAATTAAGCTCTCCAAAACCGCCCAGGGTGACACTGACTAAAGCATTAAAGTTATGATGCGCTTTGCTGACTTTATCTCAGTCAGATTGGTAGAATTTAATGTCAATTTTTTTGGACAAATGTGATCAAGATATCTGTCATAACAGTGATGTCACGGAAAGATTTCAAATTGTATCAAAAGTATTCCTGGGTAATCGTGAATGCACCTGAATGGTTGGTTCATATTCAGTTTGATATTTAATAGGCCCTGCGATTGGCTAGCAACCGGTTCAAGGTGTCCCCCGCCTACTGCCCGAAGACAGCTGGGATAGGCTCCAGCACCCCCCGTGACCCTTGTGAGGATAAGCGGATCGGAAAATGGATGGATGAACTTTTAATAGTCAACAATATTTTCTCCATTTTCTAGCCAGAGCAGATTTGTTACTCGTGCAACTTGGACCAACTCTGTTTGTAGGCTTTCACTCAGTAGCTAAGTATATACAGTAATCCTCGCCACTTTGCGCTTCACGTTTTGCGGCTTCAGTGCCAAAATACTGTATTCATTAAAAAAAAAAGTATCAAATAATAATGAAAAAAAAATACAGCCATATCGGCAGCCATATTGCGGAAAGACGTAAGAGATGAGCTGACTCAGAGGCTTTGTTATATCCCTGTACTGTTCTGTACCTGCCATGGGCACTCATACAAGGCGCGTGATTGCTTCCCGGCGCAACATTGACCAATGAGAGCATGATTGGATTCATCCCGTTAGCCGGATCGGCTGTGCTTCATCGCCGGTCTTTTGAACGTCTTGCAGACTGTAGCTTAGCGTAGTGTTCGCGATAACTTTTTTCGATTAGTTAAGATGCGCTCCATCCGCCCGTTGAAGCAATGTGTCCCACCTGCGAGTGATTACATGTCCAATCTATTTCACAAGCGCCCGATTTGATCCCCACATAGTGATCGCGGTATGCTAGCATGAATGATCGTTTCCATGTTGTTTTGTTTTGTTTTGTTTTTTTTTTTGCAGGTCAGAAGTGCCATCGCTCCTGCAATGGCCGTTGCTGGGGGCCTAAAGAAGACCAATGTCAAAGCTGTGAGTTGTATAAATGGAACACGCGCATTTGTATTGTCTCTCATGAGCAAGGCAACACTAGCATGAATTGTATTCTGCCAAGCGTTTCACAACTGCTGTCACTTCAAAACAAGCCCTGATGTTTTTTTGTTTTGTTTTGTTTTGTTTTTTTGAAACGAACGTCCTACAGAATCACAAAGTCACTTAAGAATAGGGTGGAACTTGGAATAGAAATCAGCTTCACAATTTTTCAGTGTTGAGGTACATATACAAGCACACATTTATCAAAAAGACACACTTATTCGCTTATGTTTGAAATCGATTATTTGATATCTTGCACTCTTGCTAATGTTAGTTTGGGGGGGGGGAGAAAAATGACCACGTTAATTGCTTCAGTATCTTATTTAATTCATTTCGCGGAAGGCAGTTTAGATGTCGTTTACTTCCCTTGTTTTTGTGTGCCAATGTGCGGTACATTCAGGTACTTAAGGCTTGCTCTCGGTGCCACTTTTGGGCCGCGCTTTTGGTCGCACTGTCTCGATCGCAGACATTCCGAGCGCTGGGTTGCTGACATAACGCTTTCTGATTCTTGAATCAATAGTTTATTCAGCTCTCATTATGCGCACTCTCACCCCACCCCCCCAAAAAATTGAGATTATCATGGAGCGTAACCACAAGCCTGCTCGCTGTCATCTCTTCTTATCGCTGTATTCTATTCACATCCCATCCTATCAGTCACTTTCTGTGTGAATGCAGCTTAATGGGTACAAAACTGCATGTTATTATCTGTCGCGTGTGATTACTAGTTTGTAACTGGGACTCGTCGATAAAGGATGGAGGTCTCGAATGCCGATTGTTACGCGATTCTTATCATTTCATCTTTGCGGTTCAGAAAAGGACTTCCCAAACTGTTTGATGACTTTCCCCTCAAACTATCTGCTAATGACTCTTCCCTTCACGCTCTCATTTTTGATCATGCAGACCTCCGCAGGTTAGACAGAATGTAAACAAGCACACGTGGCCAATTTCGCCCAACCCATTAAATATTGTCCGTTTTATGTTCCACTTACTCCTGTTTGATTGCACTTGCCCCGCCATCCATGTTCTCATCTGCAGTTCATCGCTCCTCCACTCCGCTGAGACCACCTAATCTTCTGGCTTCCAACGTTGATACATCTCGATATAGTTGTCCTGTGGTCACGATCCCATTAAGATAATGAGGAATGAAGATCACTGTTAGCAACGTGTTACAGATGGGCCACGGATAAGCACTGGGGGTCGTCCGTCTTGTTCCCCATTATCATGTTTTCTATCGCACGCCGCTGATTTCAGCCAGACGCGCGTGCGATGATTCATCTTTAATTGCCTTACTTTCGCTCACAACCTTTTTAGTCGGTTTTGGTTAACTGCACGAAATGATAAGTAATGACTTTTTATGAAAGGGAAATTACTTCAAGATGAGCTTTGTGACATTTTCAAGGGTAATTATACGTACCTCTCAAAATCAGCGACAAAGGGAATCGTTGTCAGTCAGTGACTAATACAAGGATCACCTTGGTTAACCCAATAAGTTATAACTCCATAAGTTCAAACAATATGTATGAAATATGTCACCATGGTGACCTCGGGCACAGTTAAGCCGGTTTAACAATTTATTTTAAAATCTTGATGTAGAACCAAAACAGAGCCGTGGAAGGCAGAATTGTGCTACGGGACGTGGTAGCTGCCGGAATATATAAAAAAAATATTTTTGGTTGTAAAAACACATCATAGTCATATTTCGGAGGGCCGCAAACCCAAATAAATTCACCATCGTTTCACATTACGCAAATACTGTACAACAAATTGATGAATCGCAATTTTTGAAATCAGAGGCTAGTTAAAAATGTTTGTTCAAATATTATTACATTTATTTTAATAGGGGTATTGGTCACAAAAATGCTTGCAATATTTCAATGTTTTTAAAACTGAAGACAATGTGCAAATTTTTTCATACCCACAGCAATACATTCTGATGTCAGAAGTGATCACATTTTCAATTTATGACCAAAGATGACTCATGAGCATTTTTATCAGCAATATGTTTCAAATTTTTGCCTCGATATGGGTCAACGCCGTTCTTGCACTTTCTTGTAAAATGTTTTGTTTGCAGTCTTCAATGGAAAAACAAGAAGGTGTCTTTGTGACCATTTCTTTTGTAAACATCACTGTTTTGAATCATTCTCAGTGCGTGTTAACTGGGTGTTTTCCTATTCTACTTGAAATCCCACCGCTGATACGTTAACTTTGTGACGGACTGCGCGCACGGTATAATTGGCCGACTGATAGATGTGAAAGGAAAGGGCGCACAGACACCACAAAAGGTCAAAATTGTAATGACATTTGCATGTCACTGGAAGTCGTACAAAAATTAAAATCATGCCCTTCACAGTATCTCACAAAGCAAACATATTTTTTTTTTGTAAATATTTTATCTTCCCATGGGACACCACGAAAGACACGGCACCTTGCTACAATGTGACCTAGTTAGTGTACAGCTTCTATAATGGTGTGCATTTACTTGCACCTCAAAATAACTCCACACACAGCCATGTGGGTTGCCCGACCGCTTGGCAACAAACGGGAGAACACCCCAAAGTGCAATCTCCAAATTGGGCCTTATTATCGATGGCGTCACGGGTACATCATTGCAAATAACTCTCTGGGGCTATGTCATATTTGCGATGAAATAAAGGGACCTCTTAACAGAAAATGGCAGCATTTGAGAGAGAGTTTTGTGCGTCTCTTTCAATGGCAAGCAGTGCAATCCACTTAAGAGCTTGCAATCATCGTTCAGACGTGACTGAGTGTCTGCGAAGCCAACTTAATTTTCTCTCCTCGGAGGGCTGCTTGAAGATTTTCATGTAAGTATTTTGTTGTTCTCGGTGTCATTTCTACATCCACAGTAACCAAGACGGTGTGTGCCGTGCAGTGCGACGGCCGCTGTTTTGGTCCCTACGTGAGCGACTGCTGCCATCGTGAGTGTGCAGGTGGCTGCTTTGGTCCGAAGGACACTGACTGCTTTGTAAGTTCGCAAAAACACATGCACGCGCGCATTCAGACGGACATGCGTACAGCTCGTAGAATTCGGTTTCAATTTACGGGTCCACAAGACCATTTCCCGTATTTGCCAGTCAGTTTGTTAATCAAACACACGACATAATATTGGCCCTGATGTTCATTATTTTGTTCCTAAGTGTGCCGTGTATTTTTTTTGTCAATGTCTACAGGCATGCACAAATTTCAATGACAGTGGGGCGTGTGTGACGCAGTGTCCACAGCCTTTTTTGTACAACCCCACCACCTTCCAGGTGGAACACAACCCTCGAACGAAATACACTTACGGAGCATTCTGTGTCAAGAAGTGTCCACGTAAGTCTGAACACGCTGACTTTATTTATGCATGATGTCATTTTATTGTTAAAGACCACGTATTGCTCAGTCGGGAGGTTGTTTTGGTTTTTACCTCTACAAAAATGGCTGATGTTCGTTCGTACTGGGACTAATCGTGTTGACACTCATGTATTTGCATACATTTTTTGTTTCTATCACGTTGGAAAAGTTGCTTTCAACATTTAAATGCAGCCTCACTTCACTAATACATCTCTCCATGTGTCTGACTAAAATCGATATTTCGCCATAGTTTCAGCAAAGTCCTGAAGCCCAAGGTAATAGGTTGGTGTGAGGATGCGGGCGGTGCGCCCTCTGTGAGTGTGGCTGAAAGTGCACGGCAAATGATTGACACTTTGTTGGTCATACCTTCTGTGTCCCATTTGTTGTTTTTCCTCAGGCATGGTGGTTTCTTAGAAGTCAAATTAGAGGCACAAGATGACAGAGGGCATTTTTTTTTCCCCTTTGGGGCTCTTTTTATGGATGTAATGCGTTTCGGTCATACGGACCGTTTTAACACATTTGAAGTGTTTTTTTTTTTCCTTTTTTCGGATACATATAAACTCCCGTAAATGACCAATATTTAAAATGCTTTGCGTTACGTTCACCTGCTGTTTTTCCACGGGTGTTTTCAACCAACGGATGTATTCTCGGCACGTTGAAAGCGTCAGTCTGAGGTCATGAGCCAGGCTCGCATAAATATGCGATGCCAAATTACACCGATACTTTAAACTTCAAACCTTAAGAATATGATATTGACTCAAGGGAGAACAGCCATCTCCGTCCAACAGACACGCAAAATCCGAGAGGGTTGTTATAGTTCGTGGGACGCAAGTGACTTTTAAAAATCAAATACAAGCACAAGCATGAGGCAAACACCTCCGTCAAAGGCGTTAATGTATGTCACATTTAGGAAACCGATTTGAAAAGCTGTGCATGACTCACGGTGTTCAAAAAGGGGTTCAAAAATATAAAAAGCAGGTGTAAACATCATGAACAGTTCGATAGAAATCTAGAGAGAAAAAAAAAATCTTCCCATTTGACTCAGAAAGAAGAAAGTGACTTTCCCCCACTTTTTGGGGGGTGATTGGCTTAGCAGAGTACAAAAAGTAGCAGCCAAACAGCCACAATTTGTAGTTGACATTTACAACAAAATGTTTTTCCAGACAACTTTGTGGTGGACCAGAGCTCCTGTGTGCGCGCGTGCCCCAGTAACACGATGGAGGTGGAGGAGAACCGCATCAAAATGTGCATTCCTTGTACTGACATCTGCCCCAAAGGTGAACTTTTTGAGAAATGTTCCGGATGTAGAAAAAAAACAAAAACTGGATAATTTCTAAATGTGTGACCTTTTGTGTCCCCCCCCCCCTCCCAAATGTGTCATAATCACCCTTCTTTGGCGTGACATTTCTCCGCTTCACTCCATGAATGCTTTTTGCCGTCTTAACTGCGCATGGCAGCCTGCGATGGCATCGGAACCGCCAGTCTGCAGTCGGCTCAGACGGTCGACTCCAGCAACATCGACAAGTTTGTCAATTGCACCAAAATAAATGGCAATTTGGTGTTCCTCATCACTGGAATTAAAGGGTGAGACATAATTGGGGCTTCTTTTCACTTCCACATCCTGGTGATTGAGAGAATTTGAAAATGGATGCATTGACGCAGTATTTCTTCATCTTTATTTACATTGCCCTTCAATGACAACGGTGTTCATGTTATGTTATATTGTCACATTATCATTCACAGGGACGTCTATCACGACATTGAAGCTTTGGACCCGGAAAAGCTTCACGTGTTTCGCACCGTTAGGGAAATTACCGGTAAGTTTTGTTGAAGCAGCATCGAAACACGCTGCTCGGCAATGAATGCGCACATGCTTTTTGTGGCGCATACATAGTGCGCTTTGCTTTGAGTGTTTAGTGAAGCCGAGTTCCCGTTCTCCCACTGGAGAACGGCCCACGCCGAGGACAGACATGGCTGCATAAGTTGAATATCAGATGAGTCTTTCGATCTAACGCTGTGTCTGCTGCTTTTCCCTTGAGTGGATCCCTTAACCTTCGGTTTCACATCGCCGGGTTGTCCCTTCGTACAGCATGAAGAAAACATGTGGTGTGCATCATTAATCCTTCGGCAACTTGTCCTCTGAGTGCTAAACGGTTGCCCATTGCTTTGGTTTCTGGGAGTAGATCAGAAAAATCAAATGTTAGCCTCAGTTTAGAAAGTGACAAGTAGTCCAAGTCTTTCCTCAACAGATACATTTTTTACTATGAATATCAAATCGCGTATGTTGAGATGCCACGTTCTGTTGAAATAAAGCCGAAAAATGGTGAACAACCGTTAGCGTGGGGGAACGCGAAACAACCCTCATCTTTAATTCAGATTCTTTTGTTAATAATGACTTGGTTATACTTGCCTGTCTTGTTTGGCAAATTATAAACTATTTATGACATTGCTTACCGTGTTTGCGTACTCATCAGATGATATTTATGAGATAGATCTCCAGTGTTTTTTTTGTTTTGTTTAGTTATTTTTTCTCTAAATTAAAATCAGAATCTGATTTATTGGCCAAGTATGCAAGAAGCACACACGGAATTTACTTCCCAGTGACAAACCTTTCAGAGGAACATAGACAAGACAGCAATAACCAAAATAACCAACATGGGGGGGACATAATGAGAAGCCTGGCCGGTCGCTGTTAAGCCCCCCCCCCCGATATCTTTGATGTGAAAGGAAACAGTCGCGAAAAAGAGGGAAAAAAAGTGTACATGTATATTTTAGTTATATCATATTTCTGAAATTTTAAGTTTTCAGAAAACAAGAAAAAAAAAAGTCTCGTGGCTTCAATTCCACCTTTGCGGATTACTTGTATGACCGAGACTCTATAGGTCCATACATAAAAGGAAAAAAAAAAAAAACAACAACAACAAGCACATCTGTCATTTTCAGTGCTATCGCAAGAGTAATTTAAAACTGACTTGGACCATTATGCTACAAGGCTAATGATGAAAAAATGGAGCTTTCCAAGTGGAATCCCAATGTTTTCAAATGATCTCTTTTTCTTCTTGGGTGGCGAAAGCCAACAGGATTTCGTAAGAGAGTCTGTGTCCGCTCAGCTTGTCATCTCCCTGAGCTGTCACGACGACGCGACATTTGACGGAGGCAGCCAACCTGCCTCCGCGACCCCGAGGTCACGAGTGCTTTCTCTTCTGCTTTTTAAATGAGCTCATCCTACACAGAGCACACTTGTCTCGGCTTTTCCAATTACTTTCCTCTCTTCTCTTCCTGCTATTTTTATTTTTATTTATTTTTTGCCTTATTTATTGTCTCTTCAAAAAAACATTTATTTTTGAGTGGGCAAATCAAATTAAAATGATGTGTCTTATACTTGGCTTTCTCGTGATTGCGGCTTGCGCTATAATTACCGCAACTTGAACCCTCTTAACCATTGCTTGTGAGCACTGACCCTTTCTTCCTAAGTGGCTACATGCTGTAATTTGCTCTATACGCGAATGTGCTCTCAGTAGAATGTGTTGAAGGACGTGATCTTTTCACTTTTGCTGGATTAAAAAAAAAAAGAGAGCTGTTAAAACAGCACTGAAGCCGCCCCCTCAAAAAAAAAAAAACATCTGCTTTCAAGACTGCAGTTTAAAAAAAAAAAAAGGTTGAACGGCGCGCCGTAATTCTTGATCCATGGGCATTTTGACTGAAGCATGTCACAGATTGGTTGACTATTAAAAAAAAAAAACAAACAAACAAAAAACGTTAAATGTGATGTCATCCTATGACAAGACACTTACGTTCGAAAGTGTCTTTTCTCGAAAACAGCTCTTACATAATGGCAGCAGTTTTTGGTTTTCATTTCAGCCATCTTTCTGGTCATCACTTATTTGGCGCTTCCCAAAACGTGTATAATACTCCGCTCACATTAACTTGGCCTCAAACTCCATCGCGTGTATCCTCGCATGTACCCGAATTTGCTCTTTTTCTCATTTCTTCACCAAACACGCTTCATATGCCTCCGACTCCACTCTGACGCTCTGCAGGGATCGCTACCAACAAAACAATGTCCACAAACTGATAAAGATGCTGTTGAAGGTTTATTGCCCTCTTGTCTACAAAAACGACTCATTATTTACCTCATCCCTTCCTACCTCTCGACAACCTCCCTCCCTTCCCGAGTAAACATTACGCATCCTGCAGGAGGGGGGAAAAAAAAAAGTGCGATTTAATCAAATGCCGTCTGATTGTTCATTGATTAGCGAAAGCTGCACGGAGGCCATCACACCCACGATGATTTCCTTTTGCTGTCTCCACAACGCATCTTCGCTTATGATGCACATGTTTATCGTGAAGGAAACATAACCCGAGTGTTGTTTTAATCTCCGCGAAACGCAAATGTTTTCTTCATTCCATTCCAGTTCATTCCGCCTCCCATCCATTATTCCACCTGATATTACTTTCCTTACTCCCCCGTCCACTTATTTTGTTTGTCTTCTGATATTGGCGAGAGGATTGTACCTCCTACTGGTCTCGACTGAATATTTCATGTTCTTCAATCCATTATTGAAAATCTTAAATGAGCCACATCCACCCTCTCAGCTCCTCGTCTATTTAAATGATTCAGCCGGGCGAGATGCGGATCGCTTAGAGGAAATGCAAAAATGTTGATGTATGAGACTTGATGAGACAGACACACACACACACACACACACACACACACACACACACACACACACACACACACAGCTGGCACCCGACTCTAGCCGAGAGCAGTGTGGTTACTATATCCTGGAATGCCGCTACTCCTCGAGGGATGCCAACACACACACACACACACACACACACACACACACACACACACACACACACACACACACACACACACACACACCGCCCTCACCATACATTTCACACACACACACACACACGTCATCTTCTGTTCAGTCAGTGGCAGTGACTCATTATAACCTGTGTGTCTGTTTGTGTTTGTGTCCCCATTTAGGCTTTCTGAGCATTCAGTCTTGGCCGGATAACGTAACAGACTTGAGTGTTTTCAGCAACTTGGTAACGATTGGGGGAAGATCTCTGTACAGGTAGTTGACTTGTGATTTGATACAAACGTAAGCTCTGTGAAACGTTTGGGAAATGAAGTTTATTATGGGGAGGGGGGCTGTTAGCGTAGGATGTCGGCGAGTTCCCGTGTGAGCGTGAGCTGTGGCTCACAGCAGCTATTGTGTGAGTTTGCTCATGTTGTACTGTCAAGAAATGTCGGCAAAGCGAATCACCGCTCCCCACATGCAAAGGCATTGTACTAATTAAGTGTTCTGTAAAAACTCTTAAAAAAGGCTTGAAAAGCGGTCACCACCACGAGTCACTGGCAAGATTTATTTCTGTCCTTCCTGAAAAGTCTCCCTTCTTTTTTTTCCTTTTTTTTTCCAGGCTGAGGCAGCAGAAGTACCATGACACAACCATTTGTTTAAAAAACATTCAGAACAGCTAAATTAAAAGCAATATTGTCCAAGTCTTTAATTTTAGAACAACCCTTTCTACAAATTAGATGAGATAATTTTGCTGGGTAAAGCTTTTTGCCGTAGCCTGGAATTGAAACAGTCGGTCCTTGAAATTTTGGGGTCTTGTACAAGGGGGACGGTTTGGACTTTGGTTTCTCCTGAGGGAATAGTAGAAGCATTGAAGTACCTTTTTCAAGTGACGAGACTCAGAAATTGTCGTGCATCTGGACAGTCTTTTTATTTCAGGATGTGAAGGAAAACATACGAAAGCCATTTTTCTTGAAGGGCTCCCAGCATTGGTTTCAAACGGAAGCTGATCCAGCACCAGTTGGTCCAAACACGCACAGAAAGACTTCTCCTGGGATGCCATTTCGGAAGCCGATGGTGTTTTAAGATCACCGATTGAAGATATTTACTTACCATAACTCACGTTGTATTTTTTTTTTCCTTTAGATAGAAATCTTCATGGATGTTTTGTGTTTTCACGAGTGTGCGACAAGAATAGTCAAATGAAATCAAACGCACAAACGCGACCCTCAATGTTCTATGATGCGGAAATTGTTGTCTGGGTGGTGGCTCGTCCGGGAAATGCTGTTTTAGTCAAATTCAAACAAAATAAAAAAATGGTCAAACATCGTTATTCATCTCGTTCCCTTCAAATGTGATTCTTCTTCAACCCTTTCTTTGTTGTTTTCTTTCTTCCCTCCTCCTACGTTTCCCGCTCAGTGGGATCTCCCTGCTGGTGTTAAAGCAGCACGGCATCTTATCACTTCAACTTCAGTCGCTCCGTGAGATCAGCGCAGGCAACGTGCACATTGTGGAGAATAGCCAGCTGTGCTACTACAACACAGTCAACTGGACCCGACTGTTCCGCGCCGCCAACCAGAAAGCTTTGACCCGCAACAACAGAGACCCGCAGATGTGCTGTAAGTTCAGAACGAAAACCATGAAAAAAAATAAATCAAAAATATCACCGACCGATCAGTATCAACAGCTTTTCGACAGGTCCAGACACGGTTTGATTCCCCCGTTGCCACACACAACTTAGTTAAATTGAATACTGCGTTTGAAAAATTGTCGTTCGCTGTCTGTCTTGATGAATCATTTGCACTCTCACTTATGTCCTGCCGCCAAAGGGTCACTGCTCATTTTTCAAAGGTCGCCGTTTGAAAGTATTCATTACCGGACTTTGTCATGAATCATTATTAGACGAAAACCTCTGCAGTGTCTCAAACTGCAGTCACACTTTTACTCTTTGATTCACTCGATTTGTGTTTGATTGCTTTCTTTTTTTGGTTTTGTTTGTCAATTTTTGAGTGTTAACTCATTTGTTTCGCTATGTGCCTTTTAATCACCGATCATCTATGTATAGATCAATGTTTTGTAATACAGTCATACCTCGGTTTTTGACCACAATCCGTTCCAGAAGGCTATTCGAAAACCGATTTGTTCGAAAACCGAAACCACGCTTTTTAAAAAAAAAAATCTTTATTGAACACGTCTGTTCACAATGGAACACTACCCGAGGAAGCGTCACTTCCTCGTGTAAGGAAGGCGAGAGGAGTCAAGTGACGCATTCAAGTGCGCTCAGTTTGTTCGAGAACCGAAATTCGGTCGTCATCCGAGGCATAAAAAAAACTCGAAATTTTCGGTCGAAAACCGATTTGGCCGAGAACAGAGACGTTCGAAAAGCGAGATTTGACTGTATAACAAAATATGTAACGGTATGTGTTTTCTACATACGTACCACAAAAAAAGGGTTTTACCTAATAATCGCAAGTATGCTTGCAACAATTTAAGAAACCCTTTGAACATTTGAATGTAACCTCACTTCTCTTCTCCCTCAAGTTTCTGTCCAAAGCCCCGCCCCTCACTCATGAGCACCACACAAGCGATGCAACAGCGGGCTCGGCCAGCAAGCTGTTCTTAGCCGCAGTTGCTACATTGCTAAGATAACATCATCATGAAGGGGTACTGGGTTGTAGCTCGTTTTGCCTGGAGAGCGACCTGTGCTTCTTTTTGAACTTTTGTTGCGAACCGGAAACTGAATACTCTTGCCAAGGAAACCGCGGTTGTTCTTCTCGCGCAAGGTTGCGCGGCAAGTGCCCGATAAGAGATGTGTTCTTGTCTCGCCGCGGTGTGTTTTAAAATAATAATTAGAATCAAATTAGAGGCATCGGATGGGATCAAAGAAAGATGATTTTTCTTAATATAATTTGAATAACAGTCGACCGCCAGATAGTTTTAACAAACAGTTGATTCGAACCAACAACGCCCGAACTGTGCACTGGGTGGACGAAGCAGTCGTCGACTGTGATGCCTTTGTAATTCCCCCCCAAATCAAAAAATATTTAATTTGTTTGTACGTCATTAAAAAAATGAGTAACAGTTGCTTTTTCTGTTGGAAATATGACATATTTCCCTTTCTTTCGTCACCTCTCGAGTATTCGCCCGCTAACCAGAAAGTACCATGTCAGCCTGAGACCCATCAGCTTCTGTTTACTAGCCGCATCAAAAAAAAGTGTTTTGATCCTCTAGTGCATGTTAAAAAATGAATGTAACCTTTTCTTTCAGTTTTTCCATTGTAAGCGCACCCAATGGAGGTCTTTTGGAAGACAAAGGTGGAGCCTTCATCCTCATTTAGTTCATTTTTACACATTTATCTTCTTTGGGTGCAAAGAAGGATTTTGAAAGGGAAAAAAAAAGTCCTTCAGGCTCTTAAAGGTGAGACAAAAGCTGTGAGGAACATTGTGCGCAAGATGCAGCTTTTTTGGTGGAGGTCTTTTGGAAGACAAAGGTGGAGCCTTCATCCTCATTTAGTTCATTTTTACACATTTATTTACTTTCTTCTTTTATTTCTTCTTTGGGTGGGTGCAAAGAAGGATTTTGAAAGGAAAAAAATGTCCTTTAGGCTCTTAAAGGTGAGACAAAAGCAGTGAGGAACATTGTGCGCAAGATGCAGCTTTTTTGGGGGAAACAGTCATGCTTAGCCTCCAGCTTTTTTTTTTTTAAATTAAGATGGTTGGTGATGCATTTTCTTTCAAGAACTAATCCCATTCCAGGTGCACTCAATGGTGCTTTTGCTGGAGCTTTTCATGCTTTTCCAAGCATTCAACAATGCATTTTTAGTGCGCAAGTAGCACTTGAATCTGTTTGGCCGATATGTATTCTTGGAAGCAGATGCCAATATCTTTTAATGGCAAGCAAAATAAAAGGCTTTATTTTCAGGACCGCTGGGTGTGTTCCAGATTGGAATACTGTCGAGCTACTTACTTACAGCAGTCAGGAGTCGAAGTTGGAAGGTTCTCCTCTGATTTGCTATTCAAACAAACTGACTGTGCGGCATCTGAAAGAACATCCCGGGTCCCTCCGGCGATCTGACTCAGCAGTCTCACAAAGAAGCCGCACTGCGATGAGCCACACCATACTACGATTGCACTCCCACACTCTCACAAATAGATTTAAAAGGATGAAGAATGTACTGGGTGGCCCAGTGGTCCAGTGGTTGACCTCACAATGCAGAGGTATCGGGTTCAATTCCAGCTCCGGCCTCCCTGCGTGGAGTTTGCACGTTCTCCCCGGGCTTGCGTGGGTTTTCTCCAGGTACTCCTCCCACATTCCGAAAACATGCATGGCAGGCTGATTGAATGCTCAAAATTGTCCCTAGTTGTGACTGTGAGCGTGGATAGTTGTTTGTCTCTGTGTGCCCTGCGATTGGCTGGCAACCGGTTCAGGGTGTCCCCCGCCTACTGCCCAAAGACGGCTGGGATAGGCTCCAGCACACCCCCCGCGACCCTTGTGAGGATAAGCGGATCGGAAAATGGATGGATGGAAGAATGTACTTTGTATTGATTACAATGTGTGCAAAGTTATGTATTGATTTTGTGTCGTGAGCAGCCAAGGAGCATATGGTGTGTGACCCGTTATGTTCCGACTCTGGATGTTGGGGTCCTGGCCCAGACCAATGTCTCTCATGCAGGGACTTCCGTAGGGGACAAAGTTGTGTGGAACACTGCAACCTGTATGAAGGGTAAGTCGTGCCTTACATTGTTTACATTTCAGGGGTACCTTGTACAGAGAGGCTTCATTATTCCAGATGAAGTGTCATTAGCGCTGAACAATGAATCATTTTTTGTCATGCGTTTGCGAGATGATGAAATTCCCTTTACAAAGTACAACATATGGCATGAACAAGGCCACCCGACAGCAGCGAAGGTGGAGAGTAGATGATCCCGAAGCATCAGCTTCTTACTCTACACGTTATGAGACCAGACGTGAGACAAAAGGCCAATCAATCAGCGTATAATATGACCATCTGGAAATACAAATGTGTTTTATTGCTTAAGCGGATGCGCGCCTCGAAAGCAAACAACTCTGCTGTTCTTTTTCCAACTGTTTATATCCTTCATGGGACTTCTTACACTACACGTTATGAGACCAGACGTGAGACAAAAGGCCAATCAATCAGCGTATAATATGACCATCTGGAAATACAAATGTGTTTTATTGCTTAAGCGGATGCGCGCCTCGAAAGCAAACAACTCTGCTGTTCTTTTTCGAACTGTTTATATCCTTCATGGGACAGACATGTGTCCATAGCCTGTCAGTCATGAAGTAAAGTTTCAGTCAAACACATCACCGGGCTCTTTGTCATCGTTTGTAAGTCCAGCAATATTCACTCAGGATAGTAATTAATAGTTCATAACTCCGACGGTTCAAAAGAGCAATTTAAGGTAAGTCACTTTGAAGAGCAGCCCTGAAGAGTGCCATCGTGGGGGGGGGGGCTGTTGACTTTGACCCTGAAGAGTGCCATCGTGGGGGGGGGTTCTGTTGACTTTGAAGGTTTAGCTTGATGTTCTCCACCTCACACCTGACAAAGCTTTTGTCCCCCGGCCCGGTGAGTTCTGCTAATAACCCCCCGAATAATTCAACTTAATGACTGACTGGTAGAAGGAGTCATTTAAAGTGCCAATTTAGAAGTGGATGCACTCACGAGGAGGAAGAAGGAGACCGGCGATGTCGAAACGGGCGGGGGGGCTAGGCGTGTCACTGCGTGTCACAGTCACTGCTTGCGCACGGGGCCACGCCGTGCCTACCTGTCCATAAGGTCGTCGGCACCGCCTGCACTATCACAGCACCGCAAGCAATCCCTCACTCTTCAATCTCGCCATCTTGTTGCTTATATTCGCCGTATATGATGCAACACAGCCTTGCGGACATACCCGCGCAAGCTAGCTTAGATTTTTTTTGAGGGACAATTTTCTTTGAGGAGCTGAATCCTTTCTTTTATTCTCTTTTCCTGCACACGGAATGGCTCGGTGTCCCAATGTTGTTGATGTATTGCCTCAAGCATATTGCATTGATCGATATCATTGTGCTGCTTTTGATCCGAGACTTAAACCCAGCTCACGGCGAACCATGCAGTTGACCGTATCTCCAGTGGAAAAAGGGGAAAAATGACAAAAATACTCTTCACCACACACATGACGCGGTGATGGATATTACAAGTTGGCGAGTGTTCATGCCTTAGTCCCGTTCCCATGATTGACAGCTCAGTTTTATGTCTGCTATGCTCATACAGGAGTAAAACCATGACTGCAGTCATAATATTTGATGAAAAATCACTTTTAAGCCATAAATATAAAATAATTAGTCGCATGGAAAATACAGGGTTTTTTTTTTTTTTTTAAAATATAAAATAGTCACATGGAAAATAGTTTTTTTTTTTTTTATTCGTCACTATGTCCAGACCAGCATGAACATTTTATTCAACAAACCTCAACTTGTATTAACTGTATCAAAGCAGATTTGAAACGTAACTCACATTTGATTCTGTGTTTATGTTGGGAAATAGATTGCGTACATGTAAAATGGAATATAAAGGGGAACGGAGTCATTCGTGCAACACCCTTGAAGTCTAACCTACTGATGTGCTCCCACTGGTTCCGGTTCTCTTGTCTTTTTCTGTCTTTATTTTTTTCCCCTCTTTCTCTGCATAAAAATATGTGCCATTGTCATATGAACGTGAGGCCACGTCTTTCCTGTCCAATTCATCATTCAGGGAGATTCGAGAGTTTGCCAACGACTCGGTGTGTGTGGAGTGTGATTCCCAATGTGAGCGGGCTGACGGCAACGCTTTGACCTGCCACGGTCCGGTAAGTGCGCTACTCGAGTCAGCAACCACAAGGCCAACTTGAATGTTGATGTGGAGCGCATAAATCCTCTGATATTGGCTGCCAAAGTGGCTGATGCAATACAGTATTTGTGTTTGTCAGAATTAGAAGAAATTATACATAGAGTTACCAATAAAATACTGTTCATATTTTAACGTAGCTACTGGGTACCTTTATGAAAATCTTACTTTTTACAGTGTATTTTTCCTTCACTCTCCAAAAAAATCTTTTTTTTTTTTTATTTCAAAGAAAAGCTTTATTTTTCAAGCAGACAAGTTTGTTTGGTTTATTTATTGATTTATTTTTTTGTATTGTATGCTTGAATTTGAGAGATTGAAAGGAAAAAAAAAACCTACTTTCTATCTGGCTGTGCAGCACACCACCCACGCTGAAATGGAGACCTTTAAAAGTGTATCTTGCTGTTTGATTGACAGGTGTAACTGTGGAGCTGTCAGGGCACAAGAATGCCAAAGTGCAGTTTGCCGAAATTGTTTAAGTCGTTCTTGTAATGATAAAGGTTGCAAATGTCAGTTTTTATTGTAATGCTTTCAGAACCTATTTTTTTTTCCTTTCAGTTTCTGGCACAAATCAATGGTGTACCTTGATTTCTCATCAATAAATTTGCAAAAATAATTAAATAAAGCGCATCGTGAGTAAGGAATATTTTGTGGATTTTTTTTTTCATCTGATCCTAATCATTTTTTTTCCCAGTCAGTTGTCCAAAAAGAAATAACAGAAAATTAACCAAAACAATCCCTTCAGAAGGGATGTGCTTGCTTTATTTATTTAGTTATTTAGTCATTCGTTTATGGTGGCAAACAAGCTTTGAAACAATTGTTCCTTTTAGATCAAACTTTTATGCAACAATATTTGTGTCTTAGAAGCACTTGTGTTGGATGAACAGTTTCCAACATGACTAACCGACTGCTTTTGCAATGTTGAAAGTAAAGATGACGTTAAAGACAATAAACTCAGTTTCCCTTCCATCAGGCTCATACACAAACTATGTTAAAAATGTTCTGTTTGTGTTGTCTGTTTCTTAGTGGGACTTAAAGTTGCTAGTTATGTTTTTTTTTTTCCATTGGGGTATTTTTGTTTGGGGATTTTTTGTGGGGGGGCAGAAATGGTCGCTTGAGGGGATGGAAAAATTGCTAACTGTAGTGACTACGTTGCTAAGTTGGCGACACTAGCTCTGGTTTTTAAAAATATCTCCTCTCACGCCACCCCACCAAAAAAGGGGAAAAAAAACCCATGAAAATAAATGACTAAATTGTCCAGAGGGGAAGAAACTGGAATTAATCAATAGAATCGATCACTCACCCAGCGCTATGACCTAGTTTTCATTGGTTTGCCATCATCCATCCTGCCAGCCATTTTCTATCCTGCTTGTCTTCATTCGGGTTGTTTTATTCACCTTTAATCAATTGGGGGGTGTGGTTGGCTTGTTTTTAATTATGATTGCATTTGTGCATTTGTGGCTTGACTCAATTTGGCCCCATATGTGGGGGAAAAAAAAAACATTTAGCGCCATGCTCTGTCGACACGTCTGCACAAGTCCCATATGTGGGGGAAAAAAAATTTAGCGCCATGCTCTGTCGACACGTCTGCACAAGCCCTTCCCTCCCTCCCTCCTCGTCGTGTATTTTGTCACGCAGTGTATGATGGGAATGTCTCATATTAACCTGTTGCGCCCTTGTCGTAGCATCCGCATGTGCAGACCGGGCGGCCAAATGGATTAGAGCGATCGTGTTATGGTTGCAAAGCCCTTGGCAATTAAATGAGAGTTTACACAAAGTGATTTGATTGGCCTAATGCCCTGTTGTAGTGAGGCTGGGGAGACGACCGTGTTTGTGAGCGCAGCGGGCTGTGTTATAGACACAATATGAGATGACTGTCAAGAGAAAGATCAATAACGTTTGTTTCCTGAATGAAAAGCCCCTCCGCTTCAAACTCATTCACCTTCATAGTGCGACGAAACGAAATTGTACATTTTTTTTAAAAATCGGTATTATGCTTGGCGAAGCATAGAATATTATTTATTCTCTCTCTGAAGTGAGATGTCAGAGTGAGAGGGCAGCATTACTGTGTCATGCCCCAAGGAGTCCCCCCCCCCCCCACCCCGAGTTAATCTTGACAAGGGGTTGCTTTGCTAATTGGCCTCTGCAGCAACCAGCCCTCAAAAGGTTTTTAACCTGCATTAATATTGAGGTACATTTTATCAGCAGCCTGACCTGGCACTACTCCAGAGTGCCTTTACATGTCATCCTTTTTTTTTTTTTTTAATCAGTCAAAGTTTCTGTCTTTATTCATCCGAAATTATCAGTTTATTTATTTGTTGACAATATTTTAGAAGCATGCTGGATTTATGTAAGAACACAGGTCTGATTAACATTAGCTCGTATGTTGATGTTTTTTAAAAAGTGGAAAAAACAATGGCACACAAAAGTATCAGTAAAAATGTTGATAACGATCAAGCTTACGGTATCAGGCCAGGAAAACGGTTTGAATTGAACAAAAATTGGCTGTAGTGCACATTCACGGGCAGGTATGCATGTAGCCGCGCTGCATTACACCGAATGGCGTTTCTTATATTTTGGTTATGTCCGTTAGCTACTTCAAAGGGTCAACGAGAAACCGTTCTCGGTGTGATCGAGAAGATTTGTAAACCACAATGTAAAAGATTGTTAAATTGATACTTCTGTGACCTCACTATGCCATGGCCAATTTGAGAGAGAGACATAATGTTAGTCATACATGACGGCTGCACGCTGTACGTGTGTGCGTGCGTTTGTATCTTCCACTTGGCAATTAGATGTTCTTGAAGCCTGTTGATTGCCTGAAAGAACACTTCTCTCCTTCCTTACCTCCTCCCTCGAATATATTAGGACCATAAATCCTCTTCGAGGCGGATTGTTATGGTCATAGCGAGTGCTTTGAGGAATGGTTATTATGAGCTTCCTCCTCTCACACTGCTTTATGCGTCTCAATTGCTTTTGGCCCTCTACACGCATTTCTTCACTCATTCATCTCTTGCATATGCTTGCCGGTGTTCGACGGTGATTTTTTTTTTCTTGTCTCTTTCCATTTTTTTGCGCCCTCTGTCTTCCACTTTCTCTATTAGTCTATTACTTTCAAGCTCCATGTACGTATATCTTTATATCTGCATTGCCCGTACCAGCTTTAACGTCACCGCCGTCATGGGCGTGTCACAGCTACCTATTGTTGATATCTATGGTCGTGACGGTCAAGCCATTTGATTCCCAGAATACAAGGCGTGCCGCAATACATTTAATTCATGAGGTTATAAGGACGTTACGCCATATATCTGTGTTTGTTTTATTAGTCGTGACTGTGTGTCATATTTCACTGTCACATTTGAGCGATGTTGCACTGTTTTGCTTTGGGTTTTTTTTTTGGGGGGGGGTTTACGAACTATGACCTTTGGTTGTGTGTGAAAATGGGACACTCAGGTCAATTCCTACCATCCAGTAACATTACCTTCTAAAGATACATATACTTACCAAAATTGAATGTCATGGAAATTGCATCAAAAAACACGTCCATTTTTTTTTTTTTTTTTTTTAAATGATGCGATGTCCGAAACGCAGACATTAACATATATATATTTTTTTTAATGGACATTCGAGGTTTTCACAGGACAGCAACGATTTTATCGAGAAAAAAAAAATCAGCCACTCATGCCGTTCAGTTGACAATGGCCACAAGAGGGCGCCGTGGTGTTGGCCGCTGTGACAAGTAGTCGACACTTAGTCGACTACTTAGTCGAAATAAAGCCACTTATCGGTTCTCGCCCATCCCTAACAATACATGTAACCACCGAGCCTGTTCAGTGTCACAGGTGAGCTAATTCAATCCCAGCTGACTTTGGGTGAGACAGGGGTTACACCCGGACGAGTCTCCACATTCCAGAAAAACCTGGATGTTAGGTTAATTCAAGACTCAAAATTTTGCATCGGTATGAATGGTTGCTCGTCCATACGCGTCCTCCGACTGTCTTTCGACCAGTTCTAGGTTAACCCTGCCTCTAGCTCTAAATTAAGGAGGAATGGGCTCCGACTCACCCGTGACCTTAATGACAACAAATGCTATTGAAAACGATTGTACGGATGGATGAGGGTATGCTCCCAAGTAAGATGATTCCTATCGTCTCTTACGGTCCTCCCAAATTTTGGTCAAACTCAATAATGCGTGCCGTCGGGAGATTGAAACTTTGATTCTTCACTCTAGCCGAGTAAACAATGTTTTGTGTCTATTTTTGCAGGGCCCCGAGCATTGTGTAAAATGCATCCATTTTAAGGACGGTCCTAACTGTGTGGAAAAATGCCCAGATGGCCTGCAAGGCGCAAACAGTTTTATCTTCAAGTATGCCGAAAGCAACAATGAGTGCCATCCCTGCCATGCCAACTGCACACAAGGGTGAGGAATGAAAGTCGCGATGAAGACACTCATGTGTAATTTTGTAAATGCTCAAAAGTCAAGCACCCAAAGACTATACAGGCAGGATTTTTTTTTTTTGGTCACATAAAAAAAATCATTTACAGAGCCAAGACCGACCCAATGTTAACAAGATGACATTGCAATAAACACCAAAGTTTTTCTTTCGATTCAAATTATTTCGACAGTTACTCCTTTTTTTATTCTCCTGCTGTGTTCCTCTCACATAAACGTATATCTTGAAATCTTTCAAGACCGGAGCAATAAATAGAGGCGTGATGGAGAAAATGAGAAGGGATGAAAGGAGCGGAGTCCTTCACGTTTCTTCCCATCACTCACTAGCCAGTCAGCTTTCCATGCAATATTCAACACTGGTTGCTGAGACAAAATTTTGTATTTTACTCCACAGGGAGCGTGTGTCATTTGAGTGTGTTATTTCTCCTTTCCTGAGTGACAGCCCCCGGCTCACTGGAGCATAACAATGTAGTCGTAAATGGAAAACACCAGGCTGACACTTTGTCACAGGTACAGCTTCATAAGCAGCTCTCCCTCTCAAGAAGACACGCCAGGAGAATTAGAGGGAAAGATCAGACAAAATCAAAGTGACAAAAAGCAGGACTTTAAACTCCTGTCCAGTTTTTGTAACCCTTTCGTACAGTCCGTTTTTAATGCACACATGTGGCCTGATTTATTGACGGTTTTCTTCTTCACGCAAACAGAGGTGGGAGCTAAGTGGCACAACCACGTTTGTGATTGATCAAACCTGACGTGAGTTGCGATGGCTAGTTTTGCGTATCCAACTAGCATGTCTGAAACTTCGGCGCGACCAATATACAAATGAAGGCTATCCCAGCATAGCTGAAATTTTTGTCACATATCTCCTAGTCAGCAGGCTTGCATGAATGCAAAGGGAGAAAAATCTTTGATGGTTCTGAATGCAGCCTACACAAAAATCCGTAGTTTCCCTCTCACACTTCTTCTCCAGTAATATGCAATAATAGCCAACACACTCTACATACATTTGCTCGCTTTACAGAAGTGTCTTACAACATTTGGCTGTGGAAAAAAAATCGTGTATTGAATTTATCTCAAATGTTTGCACGAAAATAAAATCATCTGGATCCAGATTGTGTGTCTACCAAGAAGGTGCATAAATGACCATTTAAGTCGACGGCACATTGGAGAAAGTGCCCAAGTGAACCTGCAAATTAGTGCCTGCTTTTTCGAATTCTAATACATTCAGCCTTTGGTATGTTCCGAGGCAGTTTTATCTTCAGGGGGAGGAGTCAAGTGGCGCATTCAAGTGTGCTCAGTTTGGTCGAGAACCGATTTTCGGTCGTAATCCGAGGCATAAAAAACTCTAAATTTTTGGTCGAAAACCGATTTGGTCGAGAACAGAGACGTTTGAAAACCGAGGTGTGACTGTAATTGTTTATATCCAATGAAGTATACAGTATAGTGGTGCAATGAGGTACGAGTTTTATTCGTTCCTTGACCGCGCTCGTAACTCAGACCACATTTAATCTTCCACGCGTATTTTGCTCAATTCACTGCAATTTCCCCATTTTTAAACATTTTTGCATCTCTTAACCCCATTTTGTATTTTTCTAGGTGCAGTGGGCCAAGACATCAGGACTGTATCGGCTGGATGGACAGGTACAATCTTGTCTCTCGTTACTGTTAAAACTCAAAAGCAGAGCACAGGCTACGTCGACAATCACATCTATTTGCAACAGTTGAGCCTGTTTTTATCTGTTCACGAGAAGTTATTCTAGCTCCTCCTTTCCATTTTCACTTGCGATCGTTTTCACTGACCATGTGGCTCACTATGTTTGTATACGGACTGCATAGGAGCGTATCTATTTTTAGCGGCTGGAGGCTTCTTTTCCCGATGAATAGGCAGCCTTATACCAAGGGCAATCGATGGTGAAGCAGATAAGTAAAAAATCCAGGGGACTCTTTGGAGAACGGATAAAAATGTACACTTTTCTTGCTCAACACCGAGACACGGCTAACAGGATAAAGAAGGAGCAGCAGCAGAATGGAAGTCAGCTGACCTGTTGAGCGGCTCAGCGCTTATCAGATCTCCGATAGCAGTTGCGGTGATACATTAAATGTCCGGCTCAGCCGGCAGCTTGGGTGTCACACATCTTGTAAATCTGCTGCCTCGGTGGCAGCATTGCCTTTTGAGCATGATTTCAAGCGGCTTATCGGGCATTCATTATCACCAAAAGGCCAATATTTCAGCGTAGGGACTTAGTGCCTCGTTTGATTAAGCTGTCACTCAATATTCACTCATCAAAATGTCCCATTCTGAACCATGGTTCGATGTCGTTATGTTGAATCAAGGCTGCCTTCTTGATTGACGTTATTGCGTGTTTCTGCTGTTGCTGTTTGTCGATGGCAGAAAAAGATTACGCGCTGTCGATTGAGAGGCACATGGCTTATCTTTATCCCGACTGACTTAACGTCATAGGTGGGTCACACCCTGGACTGGTCAATACTCAATGACAGGTACACATTTAGACGAGCACAAAATCATAGGAAGAATATGCAGCCGCGGTGTCACCGCCTGTAATTCCCGTTACGGTCGTCACATTTCCACAATGAAAAACAGAATGTCGCATCCGACGGCAGGTGAGCACGGCAGGTAGCGCTCATAAGCTCTCGAAATACAAAGTAGTCGTCATAGACGCAAGCCTGCGTGAAACTTAGAATTTATGGATCAAGGAAACAAGCAACATACACGTCTTTAAATCCTTTCTACTTCCTAAAAAAAAAAAAAAAGCAACAGATACAAGCCATGAGAACATGGTTGAAAAGAAACACATTTCTTGATCAATAATACACCGTAGCATTTGTCACGTCACAGACTTACATCATACCCCAATGCCGTGCTTCATTCAAGGAAGTCCGTATCTGTGAGAGCGGACACAAGTAGCAAGCGACATGTTATGATTTTTAGCTTGTCAGTATCGTCCGATACTCTCGCTTTACTTTTTCCATTCATAATCTTTTCAACCTCTCTGCGTCACCCCAACTTTTCTTGCTCCCAGCGGCGTTGTTTCATCCATTCTAATGACTTATCTCACCTTTTCTCCTTCTCGTCCCCTTCCACGTTATTGTCCTCAGAACCCCTTTGATCGCGGCAGGGGTGATCGGCAGCCTCTTCATGGTGGTTATCGTTGCGCTGAGCGTGGTGGTGTCTGTGCGCCGGAACAACATCAAGAAGAAGCGGGCCCTTCGTCGCTTCTTGGAAACAGAGGTGAGTGATGTCCTCAGTCTCGGGTATTCACTTAGCTAGTCTTAGGAAACACAGGATGACGTGACGGAGGCTGTGACAGAGATGAAAGCCGCGAAATGCTCTTTACACTTGCTCAGATTAACAGTAGTAACTGCCCCAAGACAGCTGACATCCCGACCCTCGTGAGGATAAAGCTGCTCGAATACAGGATGATTTATATATCCCGTATTTTCCGCACAAAAAGGCGCACTGGATTATGAGGCGCACCTTCAACGAATGGCCTATTTTGTAATTTTTTTCATACATTGGGCGCACCGCATGATAAAACGCAATCTACAATGCATCCACTAACTTGAGCTATGCTCGAGGAATCTCACACTGAACGATCAGATGTCAGTAAAACTTATTTCATAAAGCAGCGACACAGTTCACTGAATTATACACTTTATTTTCCTTAGAATCCCGTTTTTATTTTTTTTTTCTCTCACTCTCTCTTTAGTGAGGGGCTACAGGATTCAGTTCATACACTAGATTCAGTGACCAAATGTGGTCATGGTCAACTCTTGCCGCTGCTCTATTTCCGCGTTCAACTGCGTAACCGATCGCCTTAAGTTTGAACTCTGCATTGTCAGCATGTCTCGAGCAAGGAGTCATTCTGGGGTTGAAATATTACCATAATGACCATTGCTTGTGGAGGCTCTCAGTCGTACAGGAAAGTTCCATCGTAGAAAGGGTTCTGTCAGTCGTCATCTGTACCTGTGGGTAAAAAACAAAAAACAAAAAACAAAAAAGGACGTTTCGCTTCTCTCACAGAAGCTTCGTCAGCGGTAGACAACCCTGAAGTCTCCGTGAAGACTCCGGGAAGTTGCTCTGCGCTAAAA